GAGGTTTTAAGACTCAAACTTTTTCCATTCACCTTAAAAGATAAGGCAAAGTATTGGTTTAACAATCTTAGGCCTTTTTCAATCACTTCTTGGGTAGAAATGTAACAAGAATTCTTGAAGAAGTACTATTCAGTTTCTAAGACCAATGCCATGAAAACCTCAATTCGAGAATTTTCACATAGGGATGGAGAAACATTTCATGAGGCATGGGAATGTTTCAATGAATTGCTTAGGAAGTGTCCACATCATGACATGTCCAAATGGCAATTAGTTCAATACTTCTTTGAGAGCTTATCGGACAACTATAAGGGCATGGTTGATGCTTCCATGGGTGGCTCATACATTGATAGGCATGAGGATGACGTGTGCCATCTCAATGAGAGCTATGAGTGAAAATTCTTTGCATAGAACACTATCATCCAAGAATGGTAGAAATTCACAAGGTAGGAAGAGTGTTGGCTTACATAAAGTCGACTATTCAAATGAAATAGCTGCCGAAATGAAGTCTTTATCTCAAAGGTTTGATCAATTTTTGATTAACCAAAACTCGGCGAACCAAGTATCTTCCTTCCCTAACCATTCTCATCGTGCATCAAATGAAACATGTATGACTTGTTCTAGTGTTCTTCATTCTACTTCTCATTGTCCTCACGGACATATGCAAAGTGAACCTAATAAATAAGTCAATGCAGCTTTTGTGAACCAAGGGAACAATCCTTATGGTACTCATTATAATCCAAGTTGGAGGAATCATTCGAATTTCTCTTGGAAAAACCAAGAAGAGGGTTCAAACCCTTCCCAAGGCGGTTTTCAAGGGAAGTACATTCCACCTCCACTTCAAAACCAAGGATCCCAAGGTTATAGACCTTATCAATCACAAGGGAATCAATTTGCTAATTCTCATTTTCCCAACCAATCTTATTCCCAAGGTAATACTAGAAGTCCCGCCTTTGAAGAGAAAGTTTTAAATGCTTTGGGCACTTTAGAGGCTAAAACTCAATTGCGTCATTTTCACTCTCAATCTATTGCGAAGCTAGAAACCTAAGTAGGGCAAATATCAAGCACTCTCAATGCAATAGTGTGATCACACCTGTGGGGCTCCACTCTTCTTCCATCGAATCCTACTAAAGGGCTTCTAGTGGGACGAATCTGGTCTGCGGCCAATTTTAACTGATCGAACGTCCACTTTGTCATGATATTGGCACTATTGCAGGGGTCAATCAGTACTTGTCTGACTAGACAATTGGCCACTAGTAGACTAACTACTAATGGGTCTTCGTATGGGTGTTGCACCCTTCTGAGATCTCCTTTATGAAAAGAAACTTGTGCTGGATTGGGTTCGCAGTCAACGGTATTGATTTCCCCAATCCTTCGCAGCTTATGGGCTTGTTTGAGCTAGATCCTGTAGGAATTTCCCGATTGCTCGTTTTCTTTCGGATGACCATGAATTGTGTTGATTACTCGGACAGGATGGCTCTCTACCGCGGCTTTTGGAATTGCCCGGACTCAATCCTGCTGTCTTTGTTACCCCGGGGTAATCAGGTAATCAGTTAACTCGCCCTTGGCTATTAATGCTTCCACTTGTCTTCTCAAGCTCTTGCAATCATTGGTTAGGTGACCAAAATCACTGTGGAATGCACAGTGTTTACTTTGGTCTCTTTGCTCCATTGGCTGTCTGATTGGTGGAGGGATCTGGAAGATGTTTCTTGCCTTGGTCTCTTGGTACAATCTGGCCAGTGTTACTTTGAGCGGTGTGACTCTTTCGACCGTTCGGGATTTCTTTTCAGGGGCTCGTCCCTCAATGGCCGGGAGTTCCCGATGGGCCCTCGGGGTGCTCGATTGCTCCTTCGGCCGATTCTCTACTGTGATCAGTGTCACTCTCTGCTGTCTAGTTACTTCATTTTCTTCAAGTCTGATGTAGTTTTGTGCCCGCGAATTCAGCTCCAACATGTTAGTTGGGGTCTTCTTTACCAGAGAAGAATGGAAACGTGAGCCTTGCACCATGGCTATCTTGAATGCTTCTATGGCTGTGTCTTGATTGCAATCTGGTATGCCCGAAGACTCCATGTTGAATCAGATGAGGAAGGTCTGTAGGCCTTCTCCCTTCATCTGCCGAATCTTAAAGAGACTGGCAATGGTTTTTTTATGTTTCTTGTTTCCATAATACTGGGCCAAGAACGAAACGCATAGTGACTCGAAGTTTGGGATTGACTTACACGGGCGATTCTTGAACCACTCTAGGGCCACCCCCGTTAGGCTGGACGAAAATATTTTGCACATGAATAGATCGTTGTGAGCCTCTAGTGTCATTTCCTGAGTATAGTGGTTGAGGTGCTAGAGGGGATCTTCAGTCCCATTGAATTTGATGAACTTTGGCATTGTGAATTTCTTGGGTCTTGCAACTCATTCTATCTCATATGTGAAAGGGGTTTTCACTATTGATGCAATGAATTCTCTTGCCATGTCTTCGGGCGTTTAGGCTTTCAGCCCTTTAATTCGTTCGTCCATTTCTTTCCGGAGCCTGGTGATAAAGTCATTCCCCGAAGACGGTTGATCAGCTGCTGGGGTCCACACTTCTTTTCTACCGGAATCCGCGTCATCTGATGGAGTGGCTTTGGTGACTTGAGGTCCCCCAACATTGAAGTTCCCTAAGGTGCAGGATTGACTTGCGGCATCGTTGATGTCCTCCAGTGTTCCATTGAGTTGTTGACGTGGAGCCTTCTGTTGGTAAGGTGGATTATCATTACCCGGCTCCATGGGGGGATCCTCGTTCTGACGCTCGGGCCGAGGGTCGATCGGCTGTTCATTCCGCCGAGCATTGCCTCGAAGTCTTTCGTTTTCCCTGCGCAGAGTGTTGATTTGTGCCACGCTGGCTTCCTGAGCCTGCCTTAGCATATTGATTTGCTCAGCGCTGGCTTCAATTATTTGTCAAAAGGATGTCAAGTTGCGCTTGCATTTCTTCGCGTATCTTCTGTATAGTCTCCTGTTGCTGTGGTTGAACAATGTCTGGCTCTGTTGCCATTCCGGAGTGATGTTGTACGCAAGGGATAGAGAACGGACTTTCTGTATCGAATTTTCCACAGACGGCACCAAAGTGTAGGTGCAATTTCTTACACCCGAACACCTAAAGAGATTAATTATGGAGAACACAAAAAAAAAATCAAGAAGGCAACAAGCAAATCTTTGAGAGAGTAACAATATTGGGAATTCGATGCCTCTTCACCTTTGTTCAGGCTCTATTTATAAGTTTTTACTTAGAAATTTACATGGAGCCGTTTCTTGGCTATTATTCCCAAATGTGGGTAATTATGCCTACAGATCGTACATTCAACATTATTGCGGATGTTATGGAATTTGGGTCTTGTCAAGATTGGGCTGTCCATTTAGCCTTTGTATTAAGTAGGCATTCCTTTGTTGGGTTTACATCTGATTGTGGGCTTCTAGCTACTTTAACTTGGTTATGGGCTGCTTTTTGCCACCACGTGGTGTTTTACGATTAGTGTGGTTTTTTCCCTCCACATTCTCAGATTTTTATTTTTTATTACTCAGAGATTAAACTGGTGAGAAAAAAAAAAAAAAATAAATAAATAAAGGTCTCAACTACTCCTACGATGTGGTTGACCTTGCTCTGAGGACACCTGCAATTAGTTGACTGTTAGGGATGTCATTAGCCCCCAAGTTTAAAATTTTAACATATCAAAACTATCTTATTTGTTGTAAAATGTCCAAATAAACCTTACTCGTTTTTTAACAGTACAAATTTAGCCTTAATTAACTGCTCATTTATACCTCACAATGCATCACTTAAGTTCTTTGATTTGGGTTACTTAAGATACTAACGCCACGCGGGTGAGTGAATCCGTTAAAATTCTGGAATCTATCTTTAAAACAGGAAAGCAATTGTCTTGCCTCAATGGGTTGGTCTTGCTGTTCCTAGAAATACTGAAGTTGTAAGGAGGAATTGGGTGTGCCTGAGTTTCTGAAGACTAAATAGGTCATGATTTGGTGACCATGGCAGCACTTGGTAGTGGTCCATCAAACAATTGATCTGAGGATTCTATTATTCCACGAGCCATGTATGCTCGCTCCAATCATAGTATTCCATGAAAAAACATACCTTTGGCGCATTTCATCCAACACCAAGTAGGCCGAATCCAAATACTAATCACATTTAGCACAGAATTTCATAAGAGTGATTTAAACAAAAACGTTGGGGTTGCGTTAAGCTCTATAAAATTAGAGCATTAGAAGTGATAATAATAATAATAATAATAATAATAATTTAATTTCGTAAATTATTTTTCTCTATTTTCACAAATTTCAAATAACAAACATATTTAAAATTCTTTTAAATTGTTATTTTCAATGTATTTCTCTTTATTTATATATATTTTAAGTAAGGACAAAAATTTCATCATAAGAATTCCATGTAGACCAGTGCCATGACTAGCTAGCGTTCAAATTGGAGATTTCCATTACTTGAAATAAAGTGGTGAATGGCCTATATGTCCACCTTCATCCAAAGATAATAATCCTTGTAATTTTTATTTTTATTTTTATTTTTTATCACCACTGTCCACATCAACTTCTTCTTATCGAATACGAGTACCGCCAAATGACAAATCAGAATTTGATGGCAAGTTTTGATTCTGTTTTTATCTCCTTAATATCTTCTTAAAGCTAACAATAGTCCACAAAAATATCTTCTGCTGAGGACACGTTTCAAGAACATTTAACCTTTAAATTTATTTTTTAAATAAAAAAAAACAAACAGAAAGACACGCAAAGCCTTGCCAGAGCATATATCTCACACGTACTTTCAGATGCAGCATAATTTGTCTCGAAGAATGCAAACCGACAGTCGAATAGATTAGAAGAAGGAAAAGTTGAAAGTTGACACCTGGGTTTTGAAACGGACACCTGTTGAGCTCTCAACCGTACTACCTTTCATTTTGGCCACGTCCCATAGCACTCTGATTGTGTATATATCCTCCTCTTCTTCTTCACTAATTAAAACCCCACCCCGGCCACAACCTTCACTCAACTCTCTACTTCCATTTTCGTCTCTCATTTTTCGATCATCAACTATCATATATTTTGTATAAACAAACTCTGTTTCTAAATCACTAGTTAACCTAACTCTCCCTACATACATGTGATTTCATTTCCTTCTAAAATACTTAAATACTCTTATCTGGCTCTTTCAATTTCAATGGCTTCACCAACTCATGTAGTACCTTCATCCAGATATGGGAACAATATTTTTATTATTCTAGTGTTGCTGATGGTGGCCGTGCTGGCGGTCGGCTGCCATGAAATTGGTGGTATTTTAGAGAAGGACAAGAATGAGGAAGCCAAGGACACCAGCCAACACGCACGAGACAAGGCAGAGAAGGAGACTAAAGAGAGCTCCGAATCATGGACGGAGTGGGCTAAGGAAAAGGTCTCCGAAGGGCTCGGGTTCAAGGACACTTCTGGTCAGTACATATTGCATAAATATTTTATATATGTATATATAAAGAGGAAGAGAATTTAGGATGTTGCTTGTTAATCTTAGATCATGTTTCTGGCCGTTTGGAGTCGGCAGCTACATGAATGATTAGGCTCTCTATTTAGTATCATACCCTTAATCAATTGATATGTATATTAAATTTTTGCTGGTGGTTGAATTGCAGGAGCTGGCACAGACAGAGCCGGGGAGGTGAGAGACACTGCAGCTGAGAAGGCTAAAATAGCAAAGGCGACAGCCTATGAGAAGGCCAGAAAAGCGAAAGAGGAGGCTGATCGGACAGCTGAGATGGCAAAGGATAAGGCCTCACACAAGGCAGAAGAAGCCGATGAGATGGCCGAGAAGACGAGAGAAGGCAAGGACAAGGCAGCACAAGAGACGGCCGAGAAGGCAAGAGAACACGAAACAACCGAATCAGCAAAAGAGAAGGCTGCACAGAAGGCAAGAGAAGCCAAAGAAAAGACATATAAGACGGCCGAATCAGCTAAAGAGAAGGCAAGAGAAGCGAAGGAGAAGGCATATGAGGCGGCCGAATCAGCGAAGGAGAAGGCATATGAGGCGGCCGAATCAGCAAAGGAGAAGGCATATGAGGCGGCCGAATCAGCAAAGGAGAAGGCATATGAGAAGGAAGAAGAAGTGAAAAAGGCTGCTAAGAGCAAAGCAGGGGAGACTCTGGAAGCTGCCAAGGAGACCATTGGTTCCAACTATGAAGCTGCTAAGCTCAAAACCAAGGAAATGACCGGACGAGAGGAGCTCTGAGCTATATCTATCTATCTATCTATCTATCTATATATGTCATCCGGCCTGCTTTTGCTAACTGATCATGACCGTGGATGTTGTTCCCTTTATCTATGATTTTGTGTATGTAATATATATGGGTGAGGAGCGACTACTAGTTTATAAATGGTTTTGTTCATGTTTTTAGTTTCAGGCCTGTTTCTGTTAAATGGTTGATGTTGTATGGTGTGCTTTTGCTTCTGTTCTAAATATTTAATTTCAATACTTCCACATAGAGAATGCTGCTCGACTTTGTGTCTCATATGTATAAATTTTTTTTCCCAATTTTGAATTTCTTATATATTTTTTGGAATCATCACAACGATTATTAATAATAGAATTGTTACGTGCTTAAATATATAAAATTATAGTATTTTAAAAGCGTATCCATACATTTGTTACTCTATTTAGATCTAATCAAATATATATATATATATAGATATATATATATATATATATATATATATTTTTCCTCGAGAAAGTTTAAGGAATTGTGTAGTATATTATAAAAAAGAAAATAATATTATGGACGATTTAAGATAAAAATATAACATAATTATTTTAAAATTTTAATTTAAATAGGGATCATTATTTTGTTTTCATAAAATAAGTCAAATCTTTTTAATTTTTCATAATTTATTTTTATATTTTTTTAGTTTTTCATTGTCCATTTTCTTATTTCCTAATTTTTCATATATGGCTTTGTATTATTATTATTATTTTTTTTTCTTTTTCGTTTTCATATCAAGTTTTATGATATCCAAATATAAAATTTTGATTTGTACAAAATTTAGAATAAAAATTACAATATTTTTATATTTTTTCAACCCTTTGCATTTTTTTTTGTAAATTTGTCTCATTGTTTTTGTTTTTTGGATTCATTTTTTAGATTCATCATTAGTTTTCGTTAGTTCTATTAAAACTTTAATAGATGTATATTAAAGTAATAGATGTATATTAATGATTAAAGACATTTTATATATAGCTCTCAAGAAGAAGACCTTACACGAGGTGTAAGGAAAAAAAAAAGTCATTACATAGATGCAATGTGATTTGATGATATACATAATGATTAAAATTTTAATTGTCAACAAAAATACTAGATTAATATTAAAATTAAAACAAAGACTATAATTTTTTAAATAATTAATTACTTTATATTTTAAAATAAACCTTATTATTTTTGACACATAACTAAAATATAAACCGGACAAAATAATAAATTTTTATTTATCAAGATAAATATTAGGACTTATATAAGTACAAAGTCCAAAAAGGGCATAGGAAACAAAACAAGGGAGTTCATTGGAACAACCCAAAGATATGACAGTGCAAGTGACTTCGGGGAAGCCCAAGCCCGAAATAGGACCCTAAGCTAAAAGTCAAGATGTATACGTAGTACAACTTTCTGTATAAATTAAATGATTTACTCCCCATTGAGTATTGAGTCGCGGCTGAAGATTACAATACTTTTCTAAAGATACATCACCTTTTTTTTTTTTTTTTTCCGGTTATACAGTATTCAAAAGTTGTCATTAAATTAAAAATTAGAGGCGATAAGCAGGACTCACAGAGCATATGCTATGGAATGCAAGAGACACCCACTCAAGCGTCTGATTAGCCTTCGCATTTGACTAGAAGTTTCGTTGATATTTAGAGAAGTTATTATTATTACTAATTTTTTTTTTTTAATACAATGTATGTGACAAAAATATAAGAGTTTGCCTGTAATATTAAAACCAAATAATCCAATTCTAGGGCCCACCAACATGAATCTAAAAACCCTAAAATAAACGTATTACCGGAATCTTTTAAAACTGATTCTGCAGCCTTCACTTTTTATTCTCTCACTGTCTTCTCAAATAATCATCTCTCTTCAGCGGCAACTTTTAGAGAGAGAGAGACGCCATGTGCGGAATACTCGCAGTTTTTGGTTGTGTGGACAACTCGCAGGCCAAAAGGTCCAGAATCATCGAGCTCTCTCGTAGGTATTGCATTCTTGTTTTCTGAAAATTGATCATTTTATAATGGAAATGATCCAATTACGCTTTCCAGCCTCGTAATGCTCAAGTGATATATGTTTGTGCATATACCATGCATGCACATGTTTTCATTTCTCGATTTCAATTCAATTTTTGTTGATCTCTTACTGTGAATGTTTAAACTTCTGTTCTTCACTTCAATAAATTTTATTTTTTCCTAAAATTGCGAGATTTTAATAATAAAAAAGTGACAGTGATGATTGTATTACCTCATGAATCAACTGTAATTTAGCTTGGTAATTGTAAAAGCAATTAAGTTATTGGTAAAATTATAGAAGATACTGACACGATTAGCAGTGATATATTGGGAAAGAAGAAACTGAATATTAGTCAGCCAACTGTGTCAAGATAAGCTGTGATGGATTTTCGGGAAAAAAACGTGTACATTGTTCTGGGGTGTTTGGATGTTCTATAGGAATAGGGTTAGTTCTTCATGCTTTGAGCATTTGGATGCACAAGTTAGAGGAGTGGTCTTGATTTATTTCTAGATTATGTGGATTTGCAACATGCTTTTGCTGGATTTGTCTATGGTTCTCATTAATTTGGGGAAGTTACTATTAGCAGAAAATGTTATTTGTTATGAACATGGTTGCAGAGTTCTGTCCCACGCAATTGTTTCATCTACAATTGCAAGTTTCCTACATTGGGAACTTCTAGTTTCTGGATCTAAGTTATCATAAGGACCACATCTTCCAACTTTAATGGCTTAATTTTAATCTTCCCGTGATAGAATCTAAATCCAACTGCCTTAATTTTGTTTTCATTGATTGGGAAGTATAGGTTGCGTCATAGAGGCCCTGATTGGAGTGGCTTGCATTGCCACCAGGACTGTTACCTTGCTCATCAACGATTGGCTATTGTAGATCCTACTTCTGGGGATCAGCCACTTTATAATGAAGACAAGACGGTTGTTGTCACGGTAAATTAGATTTTCATTAATAAATTGAATTACCTTTCTTGGGTTTGTCGAAAATGTATGTATACTGTTACATACTTGCATACTGTTATATAATAAATTTTCATACACATAGAGATGCGATTCATATTACGGGTATATTCTTTGTCTTTTCTGACTCACTTTTGTAATTAATAGGGTTGACTTTCTTGAGTTCTTGTTTGATTCAAAACTATTTTAGAAAACAATTGCACAATAGTAGATCTGTTAGCAAATATGATAGCCACGATTATGGAATGACTTACCGTATTAGCAGAGATATGATTATGCTATAGAATATGCCGTAGAATATGCTATATAATATGTCATATAATATGCTGTGATTTGATTTAGATTTGATTTAATTTCCTTTCTTGTAATATCAGAATGTGCTCTTTTTATCTATAAATACTATAGTTGTGAATGAGTGATTTAATCTCATTCAAGTCTTTACATATTATGCATCTCATTCAAACCTTTTACAAATTTTTCTTCTCTTTCTTCTATATTGTATTTCTTTTTGGTATTAGAGCCAAGGTGATACGACTGCAATGAAGGCATTGCGAGTTCGGCACCACCCATTCGGGAATGGTCTAATGTGACATCGTTCATCCGGGAGGTGTCGAGTAGGTAAGGTGGTCTAACCTCAATGAGGGCGTTGCGAGATTCGCACCACCCATTCAGAAATGTTCTGAGGAGACATAGTTGTTTCTTTTTATGGTCTGAAGAGACATTGTTGTTTCTTTTTATGGTCTGAGGAGACATTGTTGATTCTTCCATCTACATGTTTTAAACATATGAAGGGAAACGGTTTGAGGAGACATTGTCGGTTGTTTATGCTTTGAGGAGACATTGTTGGTTGTTTACGGTCTGAGGAGACATGATTGGTTGTTTATGGTCCGAGGAGACATTGTTAATTGTTTATGGCCTGAGGAGACATTTTTGATTTGTTGATTGACACTTTTTTTTTTTGATAAGTATTTGTTGATTGACACTTCATTTGAGAGAAAATCATAGCTAGTCAGATTTGCACTCTGCAAATTGTAGCTTCTGAAGAAGGGTGTCAGCTAAATTATGTTTAAGAATGCATTGTCCAAGTTGGGCGTTTCAAATATCCACGCACCAACTTGAGGGGGAATGTTAGCAGTTATGATAGCCACGATTTATGGAATGACTTACCGTATTAGCAGAGATATGATTATGCTATAGAATATGCTATATAATATGCCATAGAATATGCTGTGATTTGATTTAATTTCCTTTCTTGTAATATGAGCATGTGCTCTTTTTATCTATAAATACTAGGGTTGTGAATGAGTGATTTAATCTCATTCAAGCCTTTACATATTATACATCTCATTCAAACTTTTTACAAATTTCTCCTCTTTCTTCTATATTGTATTTCTACTAGATCAAATATTTGTTAAACTTTATCTTCATTAAATTTATTTGGATAAAGCTTATGGGTATTACCGTTTGTATTGCTGCGGATGATTACATGGCTTAATCTTTAGATTTGGCCCGCTTTTTTGGAAGGCAGATGAAATTTAGCCTCTTATTTATTTATTTATGTTCTAATTCATAAGAGAGAGAGAGAGAGAGAGAGAGAGAGAGAGATTCTGTATGTCTCTTGTATATATTTCACACCCTAACCCTTAAGCCTATGGTGGCTTATATAAAGGAAAACAAACAACCCTAATTATATAAGGTTTCCTAATTACACAATGATCCTAACAACTATGAGTAATTACATAATGACCTAACATAAATATATATATACATAAACATTCTAACACTCCCCCTCAAGCTGGAGAATATATATCAAATAATCCTAGCTTGGAACAGATAGTCCTTAACCGGTTATGACCCAATGCTTTGGTAAACATATCAGCTAGTTGATCTTCAGACTTCACAAATGGAGTAGAAATGCTCCCACATAATATTCTTTCCCGAATGAAGTGACAATCAATCAATATGTTTGGTCCTCTTATGAAACACAAGATTCGATGCAATGTGAACAGCTGCTTGATTATCACAGAACAATGGAGTAGGAGCTTCAACTGTTAACCCAAGTTCTTTTAGAAAATGTTGTATCCATGTCAACTCACTAATGGTATGGCCATTGCCCTGTACTCAGCTTCAGTACTAGATTGAGCTACCACCGTTTGCTTTTTTCTTTTCCATGTAACAAGATTTCCTCCTACAAATGTGCAGTAGCCTGTAGTAGATCTCCTATCTGAAGGAGAACCAGCCCAGTCAGCATCTGTAAAACCTTCCACCCTGAGATGACCATTTGATTTATATAGTAACCCAAAACCTGGAGCTTGCTTGGGATATCGGATAATCCAAAGAATAGCAATCCAATGTGGCATTCTAGGAGCTCTTATGAACTGACTTACAACACTAACTGCATATGAAATATCAGGTCGAGTTATAGTGAGATAATTTAATTTCTCAACAAGGCGACGAAATCTGCCCGGGTCATTAAATAGATCACCCTCATCAGACACAAGATTTGTATTGGAATCCATAGGAGCATCAACTGGACGACCACCTAACATACCCGTGTCTTCTAGCAAGTCCAACACATATTTGCGTTGAGATAAACTTATACCCTTCTTGGATCTAGCAACTTCAATACCCAAGAAGTACCTAAGTTTACCCAAGTCTTTAGTGTGGAATCGATTTTGCAGAAATAATTTCAACTTAGCAATGCCTTCAGAATCATCACCTGTGATCACAATATCATCTACATATACCACAAGAAAAATGAAGCCAGCTTTAGTGCGCAGGTGAAATACTGAATGATCGGTCTGGCATTTGTTAAGGCCAAATTCTAATGTCGCCTCAAAGAATTTTCCAAACCAAGCCCGTGGAGATTGTTTCAATCCATACAGGGCCTTTTAAAGGCGACAAACCCAGGTGGTTGCTCCATATAAACTTCTTCAAGCAAGTCACCATGTAAGAAGACATTTTTGACATCTAATTGAAACAACGGCCAGTTACAATTGGCAGCAATGGAAATAAGTACCTGAATAGAAGAAATCTTAGCAACAGGGGAAAAAGTCTCGTCATAATCAATACCATAAGTCTGAGTGTATCCCTTTGCCACTAGACGAGCCTTCAACTGCTCAATAGACCCATCGTGAAGGTATTCAACTGTATAGACCCACTTACAACCAACCGTTTTGGAGCCCGGAGGGAAGGGAACAAGATCCTATGTTCGATTACGGTGAAGGGCATCCATTTCATCTACCATGGCTTGTCGCCAACCCGAATCAGAGAGAGCATCCTACAAAGTCTTGGGAACAAAAGTAGCAGACACTCTGGATAAAAAACAAGATAAAGAGGATGAAATATGACGGTAGGAGACAAAGTTAGAAATGGGATGTGCAGTAACACACGACCGAATACCTTTACGGAGAGCAATAGGCAAATCATCAGTTAAAAGCGTTGAATCCGAAGACTCTGAAGGAGATGGAGGGAGCAAAGTAGGCGGTTGAGGTCGTTGAATATAAACCTGCAATGGGACAACAGAGCGAGGAGGTGCGGAAGCAGGAAACGGAGAGGGAACCATTGGCATAGGTGGCTCAAAAGTGATATCGGGAAGAGTAGTAGAATCAGAAAAATAAGGGGGAGACTCAGAAAATGTGACATCAGCACTAGTGAAATACGTTGAAAATGAGGATTGTAACAACGATAGCCCTTTTGAGTGCAAGAATACCCAAGAAAAACACACTTAGTGGCACGAGGGTCGAGTTTATCAAGACTGGATCCAAGGTTATGGACGTAACACACACATCCAAAGACCCGCGGAGTAAGATTAAACGAAGCTGAGTTGGAAAATAGAACAGAATGAGGAGATTTACCGTTTAACACTGACGAGGGCATCCGATTAATAAAATGACACGTTGTAAGAACAACATCACTCCAAAATCATTTGGGAACATACATATGAAATAAAAGGGCACGACAGACTTCTAGGAGATGACAATTTTTAAGTTCAGCTACTCCGTTTTGTTGTGGAGTATAAGTACAAGATGATTGATGAATGATGCCTTTAGCATGAAAATAAGTCTCAAAAGGATCCGAGAAATATTCTTTGGCATTGTCAGAACGTAAAACTTTTATGGAACACCCAAATTGAGTTTTTATGTCTTTGCGAAATATTTGGAAAATAGAGAACAACTTAGAACGATTTTTCATTAAAAACAACCAAGTCATCCGAGAATGATCATCCACAAAAGTCACAAAATAACGAAATCCATTAATAGAAATATGTTTTATTGGTCCCCATACATCTGAATGAACTAACTGAAAAGGACTAGCAACACGATTATTATGTCTCGGTTTGAAAGATACACGATAGTGCTTACTAAGCTGACATGTTTCACAAGACATGGACTCAATACGACTAAGACCGGGGACTTGATGCTGCAAAACTGATAATGATGGGTGGCCGAGACGACAGTGCCACTGGAAAGAAGACAAAGATGATTGAAGAGCCGTGGGAGATGGTGCAAGATCGAAGTAATACAAGCCACCTACTTCATGTCCCGTACCAATCCTCTTCTTTGTCTTGAGATCCTGAAAAAGACAACATGAGGGATAAAAAGTAACGGAACAGTTAAGAGATTTAGTAAGCTTACTAATGGACAACAAATTAAAAGGGAATTGAGGAACATATAACACAAAGGAGAGGGACATAGAAGAGGTAAGATGAATAGTTCCCAAACCCAAAACTTTAGTTGATGATCCATTAGCAAGAGTAACACTTTGAGAGGAAGAAACAGACTAAAAATCAGATAAGAGATGAGAACTACCAGTCATGTGATCGGATGCGCCAGAGTCAAGAATGCAGGGACTCTGACTAGAGGACAAAAGACATGCAGGAGCAGTACCTGATTGGGCAAGGGACCCCATGGAAGATGAGGTAGAAGGCCATTGTTGAGACAGAAACTGAGCATACTCATCGACCATAACAGTCTCAACAACCACATGTGGAGCAGTGGGTGTGGCAGAGAAAGAAGAATCCCCATCATTGGAAGTCACTTGATGTGCATAGGAAGAAGGTGGTGGTTTCCCATGAAGATCCCAACAGTAATTGACAGTGTAATTAGTAAGACCGCAGTGAGTGCAAAGTTTTGATTCTCTGCCTCTGCCACGACCACGACCACGACCACGACCACGGCCACGATCACGAGTAAAATGACCACCATCGCCACGAGAAGACTGAGAACCACCCTGGTTCACAACTAAGGCAGAGTGTTCACTGCTAGGAGGAGCAGTGACACCGCTTGAAGCACCCCCGGAAACGCCACTAGATGAAGTAGCACGCTGGAGTCTGGATAGCATATCAGGAAGAGAGGGAAGTGCAGGGCTACCAAAAATCTGTGCACAAACAAGTTCATACTCTTGTGACAATCCTGTGAGAACCCGAACAACATTAAAATCCTCACGTTGTTGTTGCATGCTTCTCACATCAGAGGTGATGGGTTGATACAAGTTCATTTCTTCACTAAGTCCCATTGCCTGTGAGAGGTATTCTTCTAAACTGTGAGTCTCTTGCTGGAGGTCAAAAAATTGTCTACACACCTCATAAATTCTGGTTATATTACCAGTACCTAAATATAACTGTTGAAGTCGGGTCCATATCTCCTTGGCAGTGTCCAGATATAACAAGTTGGAGCTAATATGAGGTTCAATACAATTCAGCATTAAGGAGATGATCTGAGCATCCCTTTGTTCCCATGAACTGAAATTGGCATCACTGTCTTTGGGTTTATCCTTAACCAATTGAGTGCCAAAGCCTTTGGCTTTTAGGAAAATGGCTACTGACTTGGCCCATAAAATGTCATTTTTGCTATTAAGCTTGACTGAAGTCATGGGAGGATTGAAGGAGGTAGAAGATAACATGTCTGAACTGGCAGCCATGGAGAAGATAACAAAAAAAAACGAACCTGGGAAAAAATTGCAGAATCGGCGGTCGGGCCGGATCTGGGTAATTGGGCCGGATCAAAACCAGGTCTCTGCTATCCCGCTTTTAGCATATCTGCATAGCCAAACACGGTTGTTCTTCTTCACCCACTGACAGACGCCAGCAAGCATGCAACGGTGGAAGCAAAAATCAGCGACACCACACCGAATCAGAACCTCTGCAACTTCCGACCAAGAGAAAAGACGAAGCGATGAAGCCTCACCTTTGCAAATAACGGTGGTGGATGTCGGCGAGCTTGCTGACAACCGAAGCGGCAACAACACGAGCGGCCAACGGGGCTTTAGATCTGACGACGACGATGACGAATGATGCTCTCAACCTGCCGGTGAACAGAACTTCCGGCGAAGACACCAACAACACACTCGCGATTCCGATCGCGATTCCAATCTCATACAAGGACAACACAATTGTCGTTTCCCACACCCATGAATTCATATAGCTTTGGTACCATGTTCTAATTCATATGAGAGAGAGAGAGAGAGATTCTGTATGTCTCTTGTATATATTTCACACCCTAACCCTTAAGCCTACAGTGGCTTATATAAAGGAAAACAAACAACCCTAATTATACAAGGTTACCTAATTACACAATGATCCTAACAACTATGGGTAATTACATAATGACCCAACATAAATATATATATACATAAACATTCTAACAATTTATTTATTTATTTTTCATATAGGAAATTGTGTGGATGGTTTTTTTTGGACTCCACACTTTTAGTTGCTTTGGACTAAGCACATTCGATGAACTCTGTGTAATAAGCAATTTTCAGAGTTTGGAAATATCTCATATAAGATGCACTTCTGTTCATACCCTAGCTATAGTTCATCTATCTCTTTATTTCTCTGAAGAAGCACCTCAGACTCCTTTGGGTGGGATTGGCACTTCATCTAAATCTTCATTTTCCTTCATCTTTCTTTGCTTTGTTCTTTCCTCTTTTCCTCTTATATTCTCTGTTTGATGGTTCTAGAGACTTGCTTTTAGGCATAATATAATATTTTTTTATTCCCATTGCTTATTACAAGATGTCGACAATTTCTGCATGCACGTTGTATTATTTTATTTTTAATTTATCCATGTTTTACAAAAGTTTGCAGTTGGCATTTAATTATGCTGTTTTTATTTTCTACTTTTTTGGGTAATTAACATTGTTGGGATTTTATTTGAGGGTTTGCAGATTTGGCCATCTCTCTCTCTCTCTCTCTCTCTCTCTCTCTCTCTATATATATATATATATATATATATATATAATATGAATATTTATCAGACTGCTCAATGGCTGTTAATGCGTCATACATTTTTTGAAACAGAAATGCATCATACATTGTTTGAAATCTTGTATATGTAGCCACTTGTGTATTTCTTTTGTATCTGCATGAACTTAACATAAAGTATGAGTAACATTGCTTCTGCTTTAGGTCAATGGGGAGATATACAACCATAAACAACTAAGAGAAAAGCTGACGTCTCATCAGTTTCGAACTGGAAGTGATTGTGAAGTGATTGCCCATCTTGTAAGTACTTGATGTTTTACCAGGATAGAGATTCATTTGATTTCTAAACATATGATTGGAAGATAGGTTATTGGATTCGATAAAATATTGCCCATCTTGAAAGTACTTGATGGCTTACTCGGATAGAAGTTCATTTGTTTTATAAATACATGATTGGAGGATAGGATATTGGGTTCCATATTATTTTATCGATCAGGAGCACTAATGGATAACAGCAAAAGGCAGAAATTGTAGCAGATGGTTCTTTCACTTGAATCACTTCTCTGTATTCTTTTTCAATTATTTAATTTTTTTTTCAGTCTTTTTCCTTTCCTAAATGGGTAACTTATATTTGCCAGTATGAAGAATATGGGGAGGATTTTGTGGACATGTTGGATGGAATGTTCTCCTTTATCCTTCTTGACACCCGTGACAAAAGTTTTATTGCTGCTCGAGATGCTATTGGTATTACCCCTCTCTATATGGGATGGGGTCTTGATGGTATGTAAGTTTGATCTTCAAATGTGTTTTGAAGTTTAGCACCCTGTGTTATTCTTTAAAGAAATAAAAATTGATGCACTACTTGGTGATCTCTACTATACTCTGGAGCAATCATTCCTTTGAGATGCAACTTCTGTTAGGCAGGACTAAGATTGTAAAATTTATGTCTGTTCAAATACCATATGATTACCATGTTGTCTCTATCATAAATCATAGTTCCTTTCTGTTATCCAACTCAATAGGGTTATTCACATTTTGGACTTATTCATGTATTCTGCAGATTAAGTCATCAGTAAGGAGTGTCACTTATACTTGTCAAAATAAAGTTAGGAGTTTCACTTGTCTTTCTGCTACGGCAAAGCTTAGGCCATTACAAACTATTATTGTGTCCTTGGAGTTGTCTATCTGCTATTGTATGTTGCTGAACCAATTTTATGTAATAGCGATCTTGCATGTCGTCAAATTGAGCTTGAGTTTCTTCTGACAGTAACGTATTTTAGTGTCTTATAAATCTAGCGTGGGGCATTTTCGGAGCATTACTTGGGTTTGATTTTGGGACTCTACCATGACATTTATTCAAGTTCTTCAATGATTTTTATTTTTTTTGATAAGTAAAGATGTATTAGAAAGAGTTCAAAAAGGGAACGCATGATATGCATCCCAATAATACATAGAGGCCAAAGCCAGAAAAAGAAAAAAGAGGGATCCTAAGGTACCGAAGGAGCCCAAAAAATCAACAATCTCCTTTATAGATATACAATTGATCCCCATCCCCCAACAAAAAAGAAAACTAATAGTGCGAAATTGTAAAATTCCTATGGGAGATTCCTCCCCATCAAAAGATCTACTATTTCGCTCCTTCCAAATGCCCCACCAAATGCAGAGGGGTGCCACCCTCCAAAAATGACGAGCGTGGGAATCCACACCACACCGTCTCCAAGAGTCAATCAAACCTCTCGATGACTGGGCATGACCCATTGCATGCCAAACAAGCCAAAAATCAGGATCCAACAATCATGAGGCAGGGCAATGCAAAAGAAGATGATTCATCGACTCTCCATCCCTTTTACACATGCAACACCAATTGACCATAACCTGTCTTCTCCTTCTAAGGTTATCAAGCGTCAGAATCTTGCCCCAAGCTACTGTCCAAACAAAAAAGACCACCCTGAGGGGAGCCTTTGAGTGCTAAACCGTCTTCCTAGGAAGATCAGCCTTGCGAAGCAGTAGAAAATGGATTGGACATCAAATCTCCCCTAAGGAGAGGGCACCCAAATAAGGGAATCAGGGCCTCCAACATCCAACGCCTGTCTATACAACATATTAAGAAAATCAGAAATGTCATCCAATTCCGAATCATAAAACTGTCGCCGAAAACGCACATCCCAAGTAATCCTCCCGTTATCAAACTGATAATAGTCGGCCACCCAAGCATGTCTGTTAACGGCAATCCTGAAGAGCTTGGGAAACGAACAAGCCATCGAACGCTCACCACATCATAAGTCCTCCTAAAACCAAGTGTCCTTGCAGTCTCAAACTTTGAATCTGATATATTTGGAAAATTTATCCCAATCCTTCCGAATAAAGTTCCAAACACCAGCGCCACCAGTAGATCTATCCACTGGGGAACACCACCCACCTCTCTCCTCCCCAAAGCGGTATGAGATGACCCTCCTCCATAACCGATAGCGCTGTCCACCAAATCTCCATAGCCACTTCCTTAGGAGAGCCCTATTAAAAGGGATCACCCTCCTGATACCTAAGCCACCCAATTGAAGAGGACTGCACACCTCCTTCCACCGAACAAGACGGTACTTGAACTCATTCCCCAATTTGACCCAAAGGAATTTCCGCTGAAGCCTTTCGGTCCTTCCACGGAGGGCGGAATCTGAATTATAATATATAATGAAAGTTGTTGTTGGCACGTGAAGCATGAATACTTAGATAAGGGGCTGTATCCGTATCGTATCTGTATCCAATACGGATACTCCTTGGCTACTCGCAGAATTGTGTCCGATACTTTGTAAATCTATCCACAATTTGAAAATATATGTATATATATATATTTGTTACCTCGAACACGAATTGATACGTCGGCCACGTACCGGTACTTCTTAGAAACTCCAAATCACATATTTGACAGCTCTAAAAAATTACAACATTACTTTTCTAAGTACAATATTGTCGTATAAATGTTAATAAAAGCGTAACAAGGGTTCCAAATATTTAAAGCTTTTTCAGAAATGAAGAATTGAGATATAGTGAGTCTGCATCATGTCTAACAATTATTATTGCAATATAACTCTCAGTGTCTTTGTCATGATACGACAAACAATTATTATTAGGGATTATTATATATAAATGGTGTTAGTGACCCATATTTATCATTTGATGGAGTTAAAGTCTCATAGTTTTGAAAAAATGAAGTTGACCAAAATGCTGACGTGGATATGGAAAAACACTGTTCATTTGCCAAAACGTACCACTTTTAGGCACATAGGTACCACTTTTTGTGCACGCAGGTACCACTTTTTGTCATCAGGTACCACTTTTGTTTTTGGCATAGAGGTACCACTTTTTGTCATCAGGTACCACTTTTGTTTTTGGCATAGAGGTAGCACTTTTTGTGCACATAGTTACCACTTTTTGCGTACGCATGTGCCACTTTTTTTGTGCAGCACAAAAAGTGTAGACATATATAGATAATTAGCTGTATTGTTGACTATATAACTGTTAACATATATAGATAATTAACTATATATAACTGTTAACATATATAGATAATTAGCTGTACATGTGCTAATTAGCATAGTTATAGGAGCTGATTTTTAGTCTTTAATTTCTTTCCTTCTTTGTAATTATTTGTGTACTATTTAAAACCTCTACAAGGAGAAGAATAAACATGGAGAATTATTCTTATTCCTTTATCTCTAGAAATATCTTCATGGTATCAGAGCCATCTAGAAAGGAATTTTAAAATCCTATTTTTCTTTTAGGGTTTTTTGTAAATACATCTTATTATCGAAAGACCAGTTATTTTATTTTATTTTATTTATTTTTTTATTTTTTTATATCACCCTAGAACCTACCGACAACCTTGTCCACCACCACAGACCAGGTATCCTTATATAACTTCATGGCAGACAAGATTGAAACCTCTGTGACTTCTGAGATTGATTCTCAGACTCTAATGATTCCTCCAACCGCATCTAACCCGCATCAAGATCTGATGAATGTCCAGTTGATGCCTCATAAACTTGATGGCACTAATTATCTGGCTTGGTCACACATTGTGAAGCTGTATATTACTGGCAAAGGCCGCTTGGGGTATTTGACTGGGGAAAAACCTCGACCTGCGATCAATGACCCAACTTTCACGACTTGGGTTGCAGAAGATGCAATGCTCTGCTCTTGGCTCCTCCAAACTATGACCTCTAATCTTAGTCTTGGGTATATGCGGCTCAAGTCCGCTAAAGATATTTGGGATGCAGTATCTCAGACTTATTCTATGGGAGGAAATGAGGCACAAATTTATGAGTTGAAGCGTAGTATTCAGACTACTTACCACTCAGCAGGGAAGGACATTGGAGGCATATTACAATGCCTTCCAATCTTTGTGGTAAGAACTCGACTATTATCAACCTTGTGAAATGGAATGTGCTGTTGATACCGCTCTGTTGAATAAGCGGATTGAAAAAGAACGCATTTTTGAGTTTCTTGCTGGTCTTAACCTAGATCTGGACCAAATAAGGACTCAGGTTCTTGGAAAAGATCCGTTTCCTTCTTTGCGTGAGGCCTATGCTTATGTGCGTACCCGATCTGCTATGCTCATGCCACCTTCTCCAGAAGGATCTGCTTTGGTTTCTACCACAAGTCAATCACCTCGGGTATCATTAGCACATCAACCCGATCCTCCACCAACTGCAGCATCTAGTAATGTCGCTAAAACTACTAAATCTGATGACAAAGATTGTTTGGTTTGTGATTATTGTAACCAGACTAGACATGTGAAAGAACAATGCTTTAAACTCAATGGTTATCCGCCTTGGTGGCCGGGAAAAAAGGGTGACAAAGGTGAAGGCAGTAAGGGCGGAAAAGGGAGTCGTTTTAGCTCCAAGGCTCATTGTACCTCTTCCAGTAATCAGAACGGTGACCAATCTGCTGCTAAGTTCTCTTATGGTCAGATGGAACAAATGATTCAGGAGTGTGCTCATTTGCTCTCTACTAAAGGGTCCAGTTCTTTAGCCACGTCCTCAGGTAACCTTGGTAATTGTTTTAGTGTATCCGGTAAGTCTTTCTCAGAATCTTGGGTTATAGATACAGGGGAAACTGATCACATGACCTCTACATCTCATTTTTTTCTCATGTTATTCCTCACATACTAAAATTTGTGTCACAACTGCTGATGGTTCACCAGCCCTTGTGAGTGGTGAAGGTTCAGTCACTTTTTCTGATTCTTTGTCCCTTTTCAATGTTCTTCATGTCCCTAGATTGTCCAATAATCTGTTGTCTATCAGTCAACTTACTAAAACCTTAAACTGTTCTGTCACGTTTTTTTGACACTCATTGTATATTTCAGGATCTCCGAACGGGGGCGAGGATTGGTCATGGTAGTGAATGAGGTGGCCTCTATCTCTTGGATGTACCAGCTGCTTCAACCTCAGTTCATGCTGTGCAGTCCACTACTGGTTCATCTCGTGACATTTGGTTATGGCACAAGCGTTTACGACATCCGTCATTTTATTATTTAAAAAAATTGTTTCCTTCTTTTTTTCTGCTGTTGATATTTCTCAATTTTAATGTGAAACTTGTGAACTTGCTAAACATCATCGGGTACCTTTTCCATTAAGTATTAATAAAAGTGCATTTCTTTTTGCTCTTGTTCATAGTGATGTTTGGGGCCTTCTCATGTGACTAATCTATCAGGTGCTAAATGGTTTGTCACATTCATTGATGACTACTCCCTAGTTACTTGGGTTTATCTAATGAAGGAAAAAAGT